GCTCGAGCGATATCACAGAATCTATCAAATCTTTGCGAGAATGTCCTTGTCGGCTTAACCTTTCCTTAACTCCAAAGCGGAAGCAATACCCGTTTGGAAAAGCTCCTAAATTCAGTCATCAGTCATGTTCTTGACTCTTGACGTTATGTTGCTTATCCTCCTGTTTCTTGCGTATAGCTTCTTGCTCGCATCCCCCCGCCCAATTTGCCAGGCATGTTCACTGTTGGGATGCACGCTGCTGAGTCGGGGCTCGGAGGGAAATCTGGCTGGACTGTGACCGAATGCTCCTGGTTAAGCTTGTCGCCCGTCATGCAAGCAATGATAACAAGCTCCCGGACAGAGCTTTGTGCAGGCAACATGTGGGCACTTTCCATGATGGCATGAAGGGGATGGCTGAGGTCCAGTGCGTTGCGCAACCTACATGAGGCACTCACCGGCAGTTGACTTAGGAAACCTAGTCAGCGGTACGTGACTAGTGCCCTATGCGCGCGACCAAGAGCTGGAGAAACAGAGGGGCGTCGGTGTCGTTTTGCACTGTGATGCTCCCTTCGTTCGGCGCCTTTGGACGAGCAAAAGTTGCTGCATTTACTTTGGTGGCAGTCCCTTGGCTTTCTCACAGCAGCCGAAGCAGCATCCAATCTGACCACCCACATGTACCATCATGTACCGATATAGTGGGGAACAGAAAGACCGAATGCCGGCTTGTCAACGTTAGCCAATCAACCAGCAGGTTCAGGATTTCTTTGAGACCCAACGCGTAGATTCGATGGCATTCTGTGGCACGCGCCGCCTGGAGCGGACAATGAAGGGTTCATGAAGACTGCCGCGGATTGAGGCTCGCGAAGGTGTTTGAATAGATTCATCATATGACGTGCTCGAGATGCACAGTTCGCTTGGCCGAGTTGGCATTGCATGTTTCTGCTAAAGCCTCAGCCCTGAGTCAAGCTCGGGGCAAAGCTTGCCAGAAGCGTGTTGTTGTCAGCTTTGCCCGTCAGGGATGCCATTGGCCTTCCTGGCACCGGCATCGCCTCGAACTCCAGGCGGAGACATTCGAAGTGCTTCTGGAAACTGTGGCATCACGACATCTTAACTCTTAAATAAGTGTCTACAGATTCTGCAACAGAGCTTCTCATGCAGGCCCTCCTCCTGCCAATCTCGAATTTGCTTTGCAGGTACCGGAGCATCAAGCCCACAAAAGCTCCCAGCCGGGTAGCTCAGTTTGGCAGTTCCCTTGCTCAGGGAGGCACAAGGGTAGCTTGACCAGGCAGATTTGTCACCCAATTTGTTGCCACATTTGAGCAAGATTGCTGTTGGCTACAAATTCCACAGCGTGGCCCACCACTGCCGCATGAGAGCAATGCATATGGGCACGAATCGTATCCCGGAATCGCCCTAACCTCTCGAAGCTGAGCTCCATGATGTCGACATCCACCTCCAGAACGGTTTTGCCGATGTCCTTAGAGTTCTTATGGCAGGTCAGCCCTGCAGAGCTCAAAGCTCGCACAGAGCATGCGAGGCAGAGAATAAACGTTTTTGCATGTTCGCACGGATACTGCCTATACATGTATGACAGCTAGATTTCTCCAATGCGAATCTATACATGTTTGTTTTGCAAATATTCGCGCGCACGCCTCTGGAACGTTTGCAGAAATTGCTAGCACGTCTTCCATGGCAGTTTGAGGTCTTGGGCGAGAACATGTGATCATTCGTTGCAGCGGCAGCGGTATCAGTAGCAGTGGGAGTAGTAATTGTGGCGGCGGTGGTGGTGGCAGCAGTAGTAGCCGTAGTAGCTGCATCAGCAGCGATAGAAGAGTGGCAGTAGGAGTAAATGGCAGTATTTGATAGTCGTCGTCGTCGGCGGTGGGAACCGAGTAGGAGTACGATTGGTGGAGTCCAGCGATTGAAAGTGGAACCTTGAAGTGTATAATATTCTGCGTGACAGTGTAATGTAAGATTCGTGCATCCCTGCTTTCTGGAGGGAGCTGGGTGATCGACTCGCTGCAGAGGCGCCGGTTGTTGTCTGCAGATCGACGCATCGTCGCGGGCCTTTGTCGGCTTGTGGCTGACATCACTATGTCCGTCGGTCGCTTGTTTGCATGTCTCGTGTGTTGTTCGCTTTAGCTTTAGCTGCACGTGCTTATTGGCAGCGTTTGAGAATTGGTGGCTTTGCGGAGTTGTTTGCTTATGGCTATAGGTCAGTTTCGATACTATGTGTGCTGAAAGCTTTGAAAAGCTGTGCTGTTTGTTTTGGCACAATTGCTGATTGGGATTGCGGTGCGCATATTAGCGACAGGGCCATGTTCAAAGGTGCGGGCATGAATGTTTCGTTTTGCACGAACCGGATAAATTTAGACCGCCCAGGCAACAAGTCATCAGACACCTCATAAGGCTCATAAGGACTCACTCACAAAAGCATAGTCACTTGTCGAAATACATGCTGACAATACAGACTGAAGTTCCTATTCTCGGCAGGCCTGGGCGAGTGCTGATCGACTGCTGCTGCTCTCCGGTGGCACCTGGTTCAGGGTTCACGGTTCGAGTATGGAAGCCTGAATAACTAGTAATACCAGCGCCTTGCAATCCGTACATCTTTACAGTAGTAATCAGTAGTATATGCCTCGAAACCCTATTAAAACTCAGGTCCCTCTCTTCGGGTCCTGCTAGTCGAGTGGATGCAGTCTTCGCGGATGAAGTGATGAAATTGAGAGTTCGGGAGCAATTTAAGGTCAGGCGTACTTTCAGACATTTGCTTGTTCGTCAGGCAGCAGCTTGCACTCTGGCTCCTAGTAGGAATAAGTTTCGTTGGACACTTTTGGAGCACAGGCATCGCGCAAAACAGCGTCATCTAGCTCTGCATCAGAAACCGCTACTTGATGCCATCTTCTGTGCTCTGAGCACACTGTACAAGTTTTGCGGTGCAGGTCGCAGAGCAGGGTGAGCTTTGGAAGCCCTCCAAATCTTGACCTGAAGGCCTCCCTCTAATCCAGAGGCTTTTTCAAGTCCACAGCCGGAAGTCCCGCCGTTCGTCATGCAAGCCCAAAAACGGTTCAGCAATCTGGTTTCAAGCGCCCCGACTCCAAAATCCAAACCTGAAACGCCCTAAACCCTAAATACCTTAAATACCCTAAACCCCCCCAAAAAATATCCTAAATCCCGAGGTGCCTCTGCCTCCGCGCCTGGAGACTGCAGCGCAGAGGCGCTCCGGACGTCAGAAGACGAAGCTCGTGGTTTCATGCAGGAAGTATTATGTTATGTTAATCTGTCGTGCATTGTTGTATGTGCATCATAAGACATAATTAAGAAACAACAAGAAGAAGACTTGGCAAAAAGGCAGCAAATTCCGATCAAATGTAACTGACTTGCCAGTCGCGCTTCAGTCGTCAGCGCAGTGGCAGACGAGGTTCGTGGGTCAATCTTGGGAGTCTTCGACCTGCAGATTCGCCCCTCGTAACAGAAACGCCACCAGATATACCTGCAACATATTCTACTGTAGTACCTTCCACTCCTGGTCTCGTGCCGAGGGTCTGAGGGGTATTGAAAGCTTTCTAGTCCGAGAGCAGGCCGACATGGAAGCCGGGCCAATTTCCGGTCTGGGGCTGACTTTTGCTGGTCAGGTTTAAGCTCCAGGTAGATCGATGTGGGGCTTGCTGTGCGTTCTCTTTGTAAGGGTTTGTGCTGGAAGAGATCATCGTGTATCAACGGTTGCGGAGCATCATGCCCCTGACTGTGGAACGATTGACCGATGGCCTAGGTGGAGTTGGGAAGTTGAGGCAGGGTTGCATGTCAATGCATAACCAACTACGCACGCTCATAAACATACAATATTACGTACATGCATGCATACATACATACATACATTTACATACACTTACATACATTCACATACATTTACACACAGTTGCATACATTCACATACATTTTCATACACACATACACACATACACACATACATACATACATACATACATACATACATACATACATATTACTTACTCACTCACTCACTCACTGACCTACTGACTTACTGACTTACTTACTTACTTGCTTGCTTGCTTGCTTGCTTGCTTGCTTGCTTGCTTGCTTGCTTACTTACTTACTTACTTACTTACTTACCTACTTACCTTACTTTCTTCCTTGACGTCGCACAGGCACACACGCGCCGGTAAACACGTACACATGCATGCATGCATGTATGCATGCATGCATGCACACATACAACATATACATATACATGTATGTGCATGTACGCCTAATGTATATGTATATGCGCAATGACCAGTGTTAGTGAATTTTTCAGTACGTTTCAGGCAACATGTTGGACGGTGTTGTGTTGTTTGCGATGATTGCTTACAAAGAAACCAAGGTCGGAAGCCCTCCATGGCACACCACAACACAGTCGACGCCAGCGAGCAGCACTGAGCACCAAGTAGTCTGCCTGCTCATTCTTTTCGGAGTCTCGAAGTCACTGCTGTTTGAAGTCGTGGCCAGCCCTGAATATGGCCAGCTGCTCATGAATCTGAGCTCTGTGTGGGGGCAACGATCGCCAGTGCCAGAAGGGGATGGCTAATTTCCGGCCCAAATTATGTTCAATCGTGAGTACTTCGTCAATGAACTGTGACTGCGCTTTCCGTGGAGTAGGCAGAGGCGACTGTAAAACGAACTCATGGAGACACCCCTCGAATCTATGCGTTTGTGATGTCCACCTCCGTCCATCTGAGGAACTTGCCTGCGGACGTCCGGTGCCTATTCCTGTGGCAGCATTGCGTGTGTAGTCAGTGCTGGTGCTGCCTACCCTTGTGTCCACCCCAGGCCTTTAACATGCATGGGACGGCCTCATGCATTTGCCAGCCCTGCATGCGCCGTGCCTGTCGACAAAATCACATCGTAAGCACTGCCACTGTGACCCCCTAGGCCGAAATAAGGCACACAAACGCTTGTTCAACATGATTCCATCCGTTTGACGAGGGAGCTGCAGATGATCCTGGGGATGTGAAACTGAGGCATCTTGGAAGCTTAGCTTGCTCCCACAAACACCTCCGCTGCCGTTGCCGTCGAAGGTTGGGCCGGAAAGCCTTTCGACCTGATGCGTTGATCATCCATAGTTGGAGAAAACCGCTGCAGTGGGCGTCACATCCTACAGCACTCTTGAGACTAGCTTTCTTGATTGGGTGTGCAGTGCAGATATTTGCAGCATGATAGCTGCTTAAACACTCTGTGACACACTAGAGTCACTAGAGTAACCATTACACCCCGGCTAGGATCCTGTATAAGGCTTTGAAGCCTCGCCAGGCCCGCCCTGCCTTCGACTTCTCCCTGCCTAACTTCGCTCAAAGCGATGCCGGAGGCATGAAGAGCTTGATTGATTCGACTGTTGTTGCGGCGATTAGTCTTAAAGTCTTCAGGTATCATGTGGATTCAATGCTGATGGCCCGTATGTTTTGTTTTCCCAAACGGTGGTTTTAACACTTATTCTTCTGACTGGACAATTGCGTGAATACGCTTAGTGTTCCCACTGTTCCTTGGGTTTGTGATTGTTCTTGCCATGGCCAGGACAGGATTACTGGGACAACTGTCACTTGACGTCTTGTGCTCCAGCAATCATCGACTTGATTATGCATAGTTGTCTTGAGCAGAATCAGCACACTCAAGAAAAGCCGAGTAAAGCGGGTCAGAGTGTAACACAGCATCCAGTAGCCACAGAGTTGACAGCTGAGACAGAAAGGGGAGTACCTTTTGTTTCTTGATGTTACGAACGGCCATTATGGGTCCAGCCCAGCTGATCTTGTAAAAAAAGACCCAGAACGAACCGTGTTTTCCATTTTATGAACCCTGACTTGAAGTTGCCTTAGGCAGCTATGGGCTCGCTACAATCCGTGGGCCGGAACCCCGACAAAGCTTGTAGACACTACAGCTTGTCATATAGTATAACAAGAAGTACTAACATGTACTGCAACATATGACAGTAACGCATAACGCAAAATCATATGGCATGCTACGGTATAATATAGCATGAGATCATGCAGTGTGATTAAACATAATACAGCCTACTACGGTATGACATACCATGCGACATAGTTTGAAATAATGTAATAGCATAATTATTCTTCAACAAAGTACACAACACAATTTGACATTGTGTGATATAGTTCACTGTAATCTAACTTCAAGACAAGTGATATGATCCAGTATAATACAACATGTGATGTTGAATATAACATAACATAACATAATAGAATATATCATAGTGCGGAAAAATGACAGCTTTCTTTAAATAATCATCTCTCTCCATGTGTACATATATATATGTATATCTTTGCGTATTCTTGGAATTCCTGAGCTTCAAACTGTCAAATCAGATTCGGTGTCGCCTTTGCCGATATCAGGTGTAGCTTGCTTGTCGTCGTTGTGGTGTCAGCACTAGTCGTCGGAGTCGGAGTCGTGATCATAGTTGTGGTAGTCGTCGTCGTCGTAGTCGTCGTCGTAGTGGTAGTGGTAGTGGTAGTGGTGGTAGTAGTAGTAGAAGAAGAAGAAAGTAGTAGTGGTGGTGGTGGTGGTGGTGATGGTGGTAGTAGTAGTAGTAGTAGCAGCAGCAGTAGTAGTAGTAGTAGCAGCAGTAGCAGTAGTAGCAGCAGTAGCAGGAGCAGTAGTAGCAGTGGCAGGAGCAGTAGTAGCGGTAGCAGTAGTAGCAGTAGTAGCAGTAGTAGCAGTAGTAGCAGTAGTAGCAGTAGCAACAGTAGCAG